CCCCCTCCCCCCCCCCCCCCTCAGCTCAGCATTGTGGAAGGGAAGGCAGGGCTGGTCTAGCAGCTCCTGGCTTCTAGCCTGAGCCACTCCAGGCATGTGCCTGTATTTCCTTAGTCCAGAGGGAATGTCTGTACACTTGCAAATCAGTTCAACCTAGACAGGTTAAATTAACCTGCAAAGATTAAATCAATTCAGGCCCAGGCTTTTTTGAATATCTGTCCCTAGCCATAGCAATATAAAGCCAGTGTTAATGTGTACCCATATCCTAGTCATCAGGAAACTTTGGAATTCTTCCTCTCTGGTCCTCATATCTATTTCATACAGAAGCACAAACAAACCCACTCAGAGATATGTGAAGCAGTGTTAATATTCTTAAAGGCAAGGATGACTGAGTAATTGTGTCATATTCTATTTTTTCTAAGCCTGAATGATTAAAATGTGTAGATGAACATAATTTTCAAGGCTCCATAAATATAGATACCACTGTGAAGCCATAACTATACCTACGCTAGGTTGCAGCTGTGTATTATGGAATACATTTTTTAAAGTGACCTGTACCTAAAGGAACATTTTACTTCATAAATTTTCTGCATTTGTCAAGCAGGAAATTAATTTATTCTTAAATAAAGAAATTACAAGATGTTTCTATGCAGCCATGGAGAAATAACTGCCAAGAGCATTTACATATAGATATCTATTTGCTTGATTAAATATTTACCATGGAAAGCAAATATTCTGCCAGTTCATAATGATCAAACAATGCTGTCCTGTGGAGAAAAATGAAAAAATATATTACAGTATAGTCTATTGTAGGATACAATTATCTAATATATATCATATTAAAATGGTCACTGAAGTTTAAAAGAATGGGCAATACTTTTCTCGTTCTACTTCATGCCTTTAGCACTATCATGTAATTTCTTTATACAGAAGAGAGAGACACCTATCTTTGCGATAATTTACAATAAGTAATTGTTACATTTATTTTGCATACCTTGTTTTTCTTTTAACTCAGGGTAATACACTTCTAATCTTTACAACTCAGTGGGTGAAATGCTGGTCCTAATAGGTAAATTACAAGATTCCTATTGCTGTAAGTATAGCCAACATTTTACTCATTGTCGCTTTTGCAATACAATAAAAGTCACTATAAAATATTAGATTCTACAGATTTATTTTGCAGTATATTAACCTCAGGCTCCACAAGAACTTCTATGTGATATGATCAGGAAGAATATGATCACCAATATAACATACAATACTAAAAGATTTCTTACCTATGAAGCAATGTTTCCTTATTCCCATCTACAGCATCGATAAGAGACTCATCACCAGCATACGAGGACATCATTAATTTAACAATCTCAGTTGCTCCTTGAGTGGCAGCAAAATGAAGTGCTGTGCATTTTTCATTCTGCAAATGGCATTATAAAGCACAATTTATAGGTACAATTTCCCAAATCCATCATTTACTAAAAAAGTAGTGTATTCTTATGGCTTTATATCTATGTTAATCCATGGATTAAGTTTTTGGACGCAGATTTTCAACACTGTGTTCTCTCTTAATGGGGAGGACGTGGTAGTTATAGCCACTTCTGAGGGTTCTCTGAGGACTCTTATTTATTTTATTTTATTTTTTTACACTTCAGCAACACATTCCTGGGAAGTCTTTTTGAATTGAACTGAAAGTCTTTCACAATTCTATAACCAGGCTTAAAATGTTCACTTTCCTACCTTCTTAGGAAAGAACGATTGTTCATGGGTAATATTAATGTCACCACAAGATCATGGCAATTTAGATACAATTCCAAAAAACAAATGTGTTCAGGATACAGAGGAATGGTCAAAAGAAAGAAATATCTTATTCTTTTAAAGGAATAAATCCTATTAATGTTTACTGACATGAATACATTTTACTCATTCAGGTAATATTACTGATTTCAATCTATTTTCAGGAATATGTATTTGTTAGAAAGATGAATCAAGGCACCATTGTTGTCATGGACAAAACAGCGCACATACATACAACACAGAATTTTACAAACTCTTGACAGAGAACCCCATGGCACAATACCAGGAAGAATTAAGTGACCTCTTAATAACTCTGCCCCTAGAAACACAGAAGACAATTAATGCTTCTGTCTCCCAGGAACCCAGGCCACCCAAGACCTACAAACTTAGGATGCCCCATTGTCTCTGACACCGGCATTGTCTCAGCAGAGGAAGTTTCTGGCTATGTTGACTCTTTCTTATTCCCATATACCACTGGAGCTGCCAGCTATTGGAAAGACACTCGGGTGCACGTCCACCCCCTGAGAGTGCTGGTGCATCCCCTGACAAGTCACACTCCCCACTTAGGTGATGGGCAGGGGGGCAAGTGGGAGTGCCAGTGCCCCCCTGTGAGCACCAGACTGGGAGTGGGGGCACCAGATGAAGTGCCACGGCCACTTCCAGGAGTGCCACGGCTGCTTCCCAGTAAGTGTGATCGGCCATGGAGGGGACCTTCCCCCATCCCAGCTGGCAATATTAGCCAGGAAGGAACCTCCCCTGGTCACTGGCAGGGCATGTGCCCCCCTGATTAAGATGGCAACAGTTGCGCATGTTAGCTCCCATGCATGTCACATCTTTGTACACCAACAACCCCCACGTGGACAGATTATAAGCCATAAAAATCATTATCCCTGATGAAGGCACTGTTTTTGTTTCTATTGCATACTCCTGCTTTGTCCCCACACATAACTATTTCATATTTGGAGATTACCTATAGCTACAAAAATGGCACTGCCACAGGCACATGTATGGTCCCTCAGTATGCCAATATGTTTCTGACAGACCTAAAAGTCCATTCCTCCACAGCTGGCCTCTCATCTTCCTCATATACCTAAGGTACATTGATGGCATCCTCATCATATGGACACATGGGAAGGAATCTCTAGAGAAATTTCACCAGAACTTTAACAACTTCCACCCCTCCATAAAACTAACTCTGGAATACTCTGCCCAGCAAATTAATTGCCTAGGCACCACAGAGAAGGTTTGAGTAGCCATATCACCACCACATTGTATCAGAAACTCACAAACTGCCACAGCTGCTTTCATGCCACCAGCTATTATCCTAAGCATACTACCAGATCCATCATCTATAACCAAGTGCTACGCTGCAACTGTATCTGTTTATATCCCACCAACTCAGATGCACATCTTAAGGATCTGGAGCAGGGATTCCTACAATATAAGACAATCCCAAAACTATCCATAAACAAAAACAAATCAATAAAGCCAGACTCAGCCTACAGTCTGAGGTTCTCTCTGCTTAAGACGATAAGACAGACCCATATTTAGCTATAGTAACAGCAAATTAGAGGAGAGGAGACACGGCCTGGGCCAACTCAGCCCTGTGGGTGGGGAAAGGGGGTCTGGCCTGGCCCTGTTGGGGGAAAATGTATGTAGCCCAGTCCCAACCTGGTCTCACAGGGAAAAAGAGGATGTGGCCCAGCCTCACAGGGGCTCAGCTTGGCTCCAACTGAGCACGCAGGGCGTGAGGATGGATATATTAATGGCCACCACTCCCCCAGCTCCAAAATTTCCCAACCTATCGGGAGCCTCACAATTTAGATGCGGTGGCTCCATGGACCAGAGGTTGAGCACCTCTGGACCATATCACAAATAGTAATTTCATTTCCACCATACACCTGCCAGCTGCTTAAATTCAACACCAGTGCAGGCAAAGACATAACTGCAGCTTTAGCCACGCCCCTGGATAGTATTTAATTTTCCGCTTGTGCAGCCACACCACCCAACTGTTGTTGATGTAATAGTCTCATTTGCAGCTCTTGTCCTCTGGGAAAGCTTTTCTGTGTTTCCCTACTTTGGATTTTCTGCCTATTCAATTTGACAAAAATCTGTTCACTAAATTGCCTCTTCTTCTACTACTGCAACAACCTTTATTGTCAAAATACAGTTTGTATGGGATAAAAACACTATATAAAAATTTTCTTACAAGTAAAATTGTACCTGTTTTAGATCAATTTGTGCTCCAACTTCAATGCACATTTTAATCATTTCCAAGTCTCCACTTTGAACTGCCAGATGAAGGGGACTGCACTTTCCATTATTGGTAAAATTGATGTGAGTTTTAGCAGAATAGCCTAATTCTTCACCTAAGAGAAAAAGCAAAATACACTTTTTAATATAAATACATAAGCAAGAAATTAACCCCCCCTCACCCCCACCCCCCCAAATGGATAGTGATATTTACTCCCTCAGTACCACTGTGTAACTTCTCAAGGAGCTCTCTGCATACCAAAGGAGGCAAATTACAACCCATTCCTGCAGGAGTTACTTTGCCCATGGGAACAGCCTCGGTGAACTTGTAGAAAGTTAATCGTACATACTGTATAAGTGTTTGCATGACCAAGGCCAGCTTTGAGAGGTACGTGCTGAATGTCATTATAAAACTGAAAGAGATTTGAGCATATTTACCTTTCTTTAAAAGTATTTCCATACATGTTTTTGCACCTGAAAATGCAGCTGCATGGATAGACATACATCCAGTTTTGTTTGGTTTACATATCTTTCCCCCATGTTCAATCTGCAAAAGTGTTCACAAATAGTATCATAATATGCAGGAAATTATGACCACCAATAAATATTTTGTTCATGACTAATTGTCGCATTTGACTTCCTCCATTCTTACATATATACATGTTGATAATTTAATTTGAAAGCAGGTATACACATGTATTTATATATGTGTTCTCTCTCTGTCAGCTATACAGGAATATTTTTATATGTTCTTAAAAGAT